AATCTAGCTTGCACCAACAAATGTTAAGTAACAAATGAAAATACTTTGAGAAAAGTTTATTTGCACAATATATATATATATGAATGAAACAAATGTGCACTTTCCAAAAAAGTAACTTAAGCTATAAAAGAAAACGAGCTGCTGATTACTTCATTATGTTATTGATTTTGTATTATGTTAAAATTGTGTTTGTATAAATATGTGCGTCCTTAATTCTGTAGGTTTGTTTGTAAACATTGTTTTAACTAATGTACTTCAAAGACTAATTATTACTAAAGTAATAAACTTATGTTATTTTAGATTTTATTTGTTACAAATGTCATTATTCATATGTCTACAAAATATTCACATTTACATGTACTTTATTTTTAAAATGCTCTGTCATGTTCTGTCAATGTTTGATGTGATCAGTGTTTTTATGTTACCTTTTAATAAAGAGTAATATATTAAATCAGGTGAATATGCATTTAAAGAATCACAATTTATTTTAGATCAGTTTTAGCAGTTCAGGAATCATAATAATCTTAAAAAGAATAAAGGACAAACGTACAGTCCATTTTATTTACTATGACAAGTGATCCTCTTTTTCCTGTTAGTAGACTGAGACCAAAAAGACTGTCAACAGAAAAATTACCCTGTAAGTCATTAGTTTTACGCACGTTTTTACGACCCATATTAATGTTTATTGTGGCTGCAACCTCTAGTGGCATGACCGGTAAAGAATAGTGATTCATATTTGAACATTTTTACTATTCAACTTTTAGCTGTACAGGTTTGACAAACTTAATTTTAATTGAAATGATTTAACCTGAATTGAATTTTAGATAATAAGTATCAGTGAAAATTTTAATAAATTAAAATAAGTTATTGCAGATATTGTGATTGTGTTTAGACAAGCAAATCAGTACATTGTAGAGATGAGCAGTTTACTTGTAAATAGATATGTTGTTGTCTTTTTAATTATTTCAGTTAAGTTAGTTGTACTTTTTAAATTATTTTTGCAGTTTCTTTTCATTGCTTCTGTATATTTCGCTGGTTGCTTGCCAGATCATTCCGGTTCCTTGATGAGAAAATGAGCAACCAAATTTTGCATTTAGTTTTACAGAGCCAGATACATCTGTGTGTTAAGACTTACATCAATTACAATATAGGAAATACAAAGAAAGCTGTACTTGTGTTTCCGTTATGCAAAAAAGGAGTCCAACCGTTCTTTCCCTCATCTGTTCTTTCAAAAGTCTCCACTATCAATGGCATTAAAGTAGCTTTTTACCTGAACAAACCTGAACATATGCACTTTTTTAAATTGCTTGCTACATTTAACTCTAATCATGCAATGTTTCTTTGTATCTATTGTACAACGATTGTTCAGAACACAACTGAATTATGGATGGGTAACAACATGAGACTTTGACACTGTAGACCACGCTTTCTTCCTCGTTTCTCAAGAGTCACTGTTGGTTTCTTTTAAACCTGACCACAGTTGTTCCCAAACCTTATCCATGTAGTTATTCTTTTATACATTACTCCTAAATACCAACTACTTTTTCCCAGTGGATCAGCAGCTTCTGAAGTATTCAGACCAGCCGTCAGGCACCAACAGCCATGCCATATTCACTTAAATCCCCTTTCTTCCCCATTCTGATGCTCAGTTTGTACTTCAGCATTGATTTGCTGTCATGTGATTGGCTGATGAGCTATTAGTGTTAATAAGCAATTGAACAGGTATACCTGGTGTCACTGGCCACTGTATTACTTGTTCAATTGCTTATTAACACTAATAGCTAATCAGCCAATCACATGGCAGCAAATCAATGCTGACCAACTACTGACCAGTAGATCACCGCTGACATGTCACTGCTGAACTGTTCTCGGAGGAGACTGCATATGTGTTTATAGTGAGATTGTAAAAAAACGTTTTTGGAAGATACAGGCCTGTGCATCACGCCGTCAGTCAGTCAGCAGTTAGGTCAAGACGATCATCCAAATATGTAAACATGTAACTTGATGTTGTATTGTTCAGACTGGTATTGGATACTCACATTTTAAACGCTTTGAGTATTGTATTGGGAAAAAAAGGCTCTTTTGAATGGCAAATAATTTTTTTTAAAGATTATTTTAAAATTCTTTTAAAGTTGCTGAATACAGTAGAAATACTTATTCTGGTGGAAAACCTTTATTTATTTATTTTTTATTTCTTTAGCCTTTTAGTACAGTTAGGTTTACTGGAAAACCTTGTGCACTTTGCCATTAGACGATTCTTTCGCAATATGTCAATAAAATTTCCAGTTACAGTTCTTGTATGTGTTATATATGTGAAATATAATAACTAATTTGAAACTTTATATTTAGTATTTGAATAAACATGTAAGGTTTATGTAGAAATTCCCTTAAACTTCATAGTAATTGAATAACCACATAATGCTTATTTATAGGTTTACTTTAATTTAATTTAATCAAATCTGACAAAGTTATGTCATTTATTCAAACTGACTAAACATGTTAGAAAAACATTGCATTACATGTCACCTTTTACATTGAACTTATGTAATAAAATTAGATGGAAGATTTAAATGTAATTAAAATACTTAAAGTCAATGTTTTAGGGATAAATAGTTTTTTGAGTGTAGATCACTGCTGAACTCAGAATCAGCTGCCCTGCCAATCTCCTGCTTCTCTCTCTCTCTCTCTCCTAAAATATTTTCAATATCCATCTGGTCAATGAATGGAAGGATACACAGCAGCATTAACACTATAACATTTAGTTTTCACTGACAACAACATTCTATGGGGACTGATATTGTTTTGAAATAGCCTACTAGAGATAGACAATATTAATGGTGTTCACACTAGCTGGACTAGGATTGTTCATAACCAACTAAAATATCCATGTTCCTTTAGCTCAAGTAAACAGTCATCAACAACAGCAGTTTCACTTTGTATTACTCAATACTTCACCATTCATCTCTCTTTGTATGTGTGTGTGTGTCTAACGTTGCTTGGCAGCTCGCCACCCTCAGGGTCCTAGTGCACGACCACAGTAGGGATTTAAATTGTGAAGCAGAGGAAACAACAAGAAAGATTATTTTCAGCCAATAAATACAAATTATATTTGTCTTCTATCATATTATCAATATTCTTGCTTCTTGTTGAAAATATGACTGCATTGTAAAAAAAAATCTAAATCTAATAATTGTCTTTCTTATTATTGTTATAGGGGGCTTAGGCCCATTTTAGGGTAGCTTCAGCCCCCCTAAAATAGGCCTAACGACGTCCATGGGTTAAAGCATTTTTATTTCATTTGCAGCTATCCTGAAACAGCAGCTCATGTGTCAGAAACCATCTGTCCAGATTTCCATTGAATACCAGCAGATTTTTACTTAAAACTTACCTAAACAATATGGTTGGCTGCTGTGATGCCTAATATCTACTCAGTAGAATAGATAAGATATACTTTATTGTCTCCAAAGGAAAATTTGTTTTGGACTCTCAATTCTATTTGCAGCTTCACAAAAACAACACAAAACAGCAACAAAATAGTCATCTCTCAACACATGGTCATGTAACACAGCACATGCTCTCATATACAAAAGACATGTACCTACATAAATATACACATTCACTCCTTTTCACAATGGTTGCATTTGATGGCACAACTGTAAAACTGTTTTACAGCCCTTATTGCCTACATTGCACAAATGACATATTGCACAACAAACAGCTTGCACAACCCAAACCCAAATAGCCTACATATTGCACAATGGCATTTTGCACATTCCGTATGGTCGATGAATGTTGATATCAGTTCAGCTTTCACTTAGGAACCCTGAATCTCCTACCAGAGGGTAAAAGATGAAATTCTGGGTGAAATATGTGGGTCGCACCACACAGTACCTTTTGCGCCTGTCCGATAAAAGACTGCTTATAGATTATCTGAAAGGGTGAATAGGTCTTATTGTGAAAACTCAGCTAAACAATATGTTTGATTGCTGTGGTGCTAAATTTTAGGTTTGATTTGAGGTTGTGTGGTAATGATCAGCTTCAGTGTTACATTACAATTTCTTGAAACAATGATTATTCATAGCCAGGGCCCGAATGGGAGATTGTGATCACAGTTGGTCGAATACTGTCTATTAAACAGGTTTTTAGCCACAATTTAAAAATTTATTGGATAATTCAAGATTTCTCACACACATGTTATGACACAATGAGTGAACAATAACTAGCACAGTATTGGCTTTCCTCCATCTTTTCTATTCTCCATTTCACTTCCTGCCTCCTTCTGATTTTCGAGCGTAATCGGATTTATGTGACTGCAAACAACGTATGATCCTGTTTGTGAGTTTCATCTACAGCCATCAGTGGCATGATCCAGTGATGTGTAGTCCATATTAACTTACTTTAAAAAAAAAAAATAAAAAAGCAGACTCAGATATAAGATTAAAAGAAAAAACAATAAAAACATGAGGTGAGGAAACACTTTCATGAATGGCCACACCAGCACAAAACCGTATTAAAGTAAAAGTATCAAGAGAAAAGTAAGATAAAGATTAAAATAAATAATAATGATACAATTATTTAAAAAATAAAATACTAAAAATAAAATAATTAAATAAAGTAAGGGGACAATAAAAATAAAATAAGAGAAAAGCAGAATAAAATAGAATAAAACGATGTATCAGTAAAACAGACTAAATGTGAGTACATAGACAAATAAATAAATGAATAAACAGATGATTGAAAATAAATAAATACAATTTGACTAAAAACCTGGTTAAAAAGATAGGTCTTCAGTTTGCTTTTAAAATTAGCAACCCTCTCTGCTGCCCTCAGCTCCTAAGATAAGCAGAGCTGAAAAAATTTCATGACCAAGAAGAGACCCCCCCCCCCCCCCCGCCCCCCTTCTCTCTCTCTCTCTCTCTCTCTCTCTCTCTCTCTGTCTCAACACATAAGTGAAAGTAACTGTGTCCCAGTCCATTTATTGTTCGTGCTGCTGCAGGACACCCAGATAAAATTTCCTAAAGGACACACACAAAGCAGCAGTCTCTAAAAACCAAAGTAAGTAGGCTACTCATTGCTGTTTCTTTCAGTTCTCTTTTATCAGGTGATACAGGTGTCGTCGGCACTTAGTTCTGTGGTTTGTCCTGCTTCAGTGAAAAGTTGGGTGAGCTGGGATCTGAAGTTCATTAGAAACTTTTTCTCTTTTCACACAAAGATATCTACATATTCGCAAGACCACGTGGCAACAGCGTGTGTTTGAGCATAAACACATCCTTTGTTTAATCTCTTTGTTTGGTCACAATGTCGCTGAACCCACATGTAAGCCTAATTAAAATTCGAGTAGGAAATTTATTTCAGAAACATTTCATGTTATATTTATTGAAATTCTTTTTGCCTCCAGCCGGTAATCAATAAACCAAATGCTCTTACACACAAAAAAACAACCCAGGGGATCTTGTGGTCTCTCATACTATGATAATATTTTAGCCTATATAATAAACAGTATTTTGAAATGGGTCATTCTGGTAATTAGCACCTTTATTTTTGGGGCTTGTTTTTCTTTACAACTTCTGAATGCAGAAGCTTCAGGATTGTAGTCAAATGGTACTATTATTTAAGCTAAATAGTATTACTTCTTCCATCACTGCTTTTTAATTATACAGTTATATTATAGGATTATTATTTCTGGTGCATTAATGTGTAAGCAGCACTTTACAGCTCGAGCTCAACTATTTTAATTTTTAGGCTGTTTTTATTTACACTGGGGGCTGAAACTGACACCACTGATGTGCTTGCAACTATATTGACATCTAGCTCTTTATAAATGGATATATTGAATCCACTCGCTTTGGTACAATAAAAAGCCTTTATTGAATATCTTTTTCCTATAGTTATGCTTTTGTGCCTTTTATAAACCTAATGAAAAGTGTTTTTTTTTTCACCCTCCACTGTTTCACAATAGAAATGGCTGAGAGAAAGAGGAAGCGACCTGTCTCTACTTTAACTGCCGATGAGTCCGTTGAGCCAAACAGCGCCTGCAGTGAGCCATCAGTCAGGTAATACAAGTTTAGTTCAATGGTTTTACTTTATAAACAAGAATAGAAAGAAAAAACAGTCAAGTGAGATTGTGCACACTGAAAAACGTTGAGCGTAAAAAGGATACCTTGTGCTAGAGATGTTATTCTTGAAGCATATAATAAAAAAGCAGAGCTGTAAGTCTGTTTACAAGTGGTCAGGTTTTACGTATGATGTAGCCTAACCATTGTTACTGTCTCAAGGACTTGTTAAATGTTTATTTTGTACGTTTGTATGTGTAAGTTCATGAATATTTGAGTTCATACAGTCATATAAAAATGAAAAAACATTTGAAGTATGGGTCACATGACCAGAGTTGATTTGAGGGCATAACCGTGACGTTATGGGTGAGAGAAAATGTGGATGCAGAGCAGAGCATACAGAGGAGCAACAGACCTCCCTATTCTGCACTTGATCAAGAGGGGCACAGGGTAATTCCTTTCATTTGTTTACTTCTGTGGATGGTACTTGTCGGCTTTACATGGACAATACTTTTTTTGTTTGGTAATATTATATGATTAATCGCTAACGTGTTTGGGCCTGTTTATCTATGAACACTAGCTTGAGAGACTTTAAAATGAATGTGAGATGAATATTTTCTTTTCTTCTAGTTTTCACGGTGTCTGCAAAAGAAGGAGAGAGTTAGAAAATATAAATCTTCAAACGACATCTGTGTGATGCGTGGCCGTTATTTCTTGGGACTAGTGTAGCTACAACCTTTATTGAACAGTATATCTATGTCGGCAGTGACACCACTTAATCTGATTCACTGATCGTGGTTTTCCACAGAAATTCACCAAATTCCAAAGTTTGTCCAGCAGATGTCGCCATTTTGACCTTGTAAAATGCTGCTACAGCGCTTCAGAAGGTTTTGTTTCCTCCATCACTGAAGTGGACAGCATATTACCATATAAGCTTTAACTTTTCCCAGTGTGTGGTGCATTATATTGAAACTTTGTATCTGTGTGTATAGAATAATGCAGTCTAATGTCTGTCTGTTCTGCACCCAACCTGTACCAGCACCCTGGGATATCATGTTGCTGCGGAAGTATGGCATACTGTACTGGGGCCACTACCACGAGATTTATGTAATCGGAGTGAGAGAGAGACACTGTTTCCAAGTAGACTACAGATGAGTGCACATATCACAGCTGAAGAGCGAATGATCAGCCATGGTGTTCAGGGTTAAAACTGTAATCTGAACTTTTGTGTACTGTAATTAAACAGGCTTTACAAAACTCAACTCTGCTTAGTTACCCTGCCAGGAACTGAAGCATGCCAACAATAAATGAATAAATCAATAAAATCAAATTTGAATGTAATAGATGTGTTTTTCTTGATTGCCTAGTGATTGACTAGCATAGAGTTTATGCACTTACAAGATCTCTTTTATAGTGTACTGAAGACAACTGCATCTACAGCTCCCAGTTTTGTCTCGATGAAGAGTGATGGATCCAAGTTCGAGCTAATCAATTTTGGTTTTCAAGATGCTCAAAGGTAATTTTAATGTATTCTGTAAATGAAATGTATCATAGCATATTGTGGTAATTTTGTTAAAGATTCGTAATGAGACTGAAAGTGGTAAAGCCATTTGTAACTGCAGTATATACACGTACCTGTATGTGCTTTAGGATAAGCATTATTATCTTGCTCAAACTGAAACATGTTTAATTCATGTGGATGTGTGTTTGTATCAACTCTCGTCTTTCCATTGACAACATACAATCATGCTGCATTCAAAATGCTCGTTGTGTTCAAGCTGAAAACACCTTTACACTAACAGGCTTGATGCAACAAGAAAACAATGTCAAGTCTATAATTTTGTGCTATTAGACATCAACCTAATAGGTGGTCTCAGAAAATATGGTATCAATGTAAATGGGATCAGAATTTACTGACTTGGCTATGCCGCTGCTCCCATCCTCCGATGAAGTAGGTTGCATCTGGCAAGAATATGTGTAATTTGTTGTAATTTGTTCTTACAGACAGCAGAGGGGGGAACCGTCCAGCAGTTCAGTGTGTTTGGAGGATCCAGTCTATTTAAACCAGAGAGATACTGAAGAAGACATGCGTTAGTTCAACTATTTCAAACATTTTCGTAGTGTTACTTATTCTGCTATTAGTAACCAGCAATAACTACTAGAAATGTCATGTTCCAGGTGTTATTTAAACTTCTTTTGATTAAAAGGAACTCACTGTTTCATGGCATACATATTTACCAACGCAGGCAATGGAAAGATCTTTTGAAAAAAAAAAATGTTGACAAATCAGAATTATAACCGTTCTTTCAATTTTTACAGGGGACAACTTCATTTTCAAAGGAAAGAAGAATCTTAAAGAAACAATGAAAAACCAATTTACTTCGACATACCAAGGTCATGGTGAGCAGCAGAGTTCTCTAAACAGCATCTACACATCACTCTACATCACCACTGGAGAGAGTGGAGCTCCACATGAAGAACATGCGTTCAGACACATTAAACATAAATTGGAACGACAATCTTCTAAACATATTAACCTCAGTGACATCTTCAAACCTCTGCCTGGCCAAGAGAAACCCCCCCGAACAGTCCTGACGAAGGGCGTTGCAGGCATTGGAAAATCATTCGCAGTGCAGAAATTTATTCTTGACTGGGCCGAGGAGAAAGAGAACCAGGACATTGATTTTGTTTTCAGTCTTGCTTTCCGAGAGCTGAATTTGAGTTCAGGTAACAAAAGCTTGCACCAACTCCTGACTGAATTTCACCCTGCGCTCCACGATCTGAAAGATTCAGAGGATTTCATCAGAGCCAGAGTCCTGGTGATCCTGGACGGCCTGGATGAAAGCAGACTTCAGCTGGACTTTGAGAACAAGCCGGTAACATCTGTCAGTGAAGTAACATCTGTGGGAAATCTCCTTGCAAACCTCATCCAGGGAAACCTTCTTCCTGAAGCTAACCTCTGGATAACATCCCGTCCAGCAGCAGCCAATCAGATCGCTGCAGAGTTTGTGGACAAGGTAATGGAGATAAGAGGGTTCAGTGACCCACAGAAAGAGGAGTACTTCAGGAGGAGGTTTCATCAGGACTTGGGTCTTGCTGACAGGATCATTTCACACATTCGCTCTTCACAGAGTCTGGACATCATGTGCCAGATCCCGATCTTCTGCTGGATTTCTGCCGTATTATTTCAGGAGATCTTTGGGGGAGACGAGACAGCTGAAGTTCCTCAAACTCTAACAGAGATGATGGCACATTTCCTGTTTGTGCAGACGAAACGCAGAAGCAGAAAATATGACAAGAAGACTGAGAGAAATAAAGAGACACTTCTGAAAACTCACAAGGAATTTCTTCTGAAACTCGGCAAGCTCGCATTTGTTCATCTGCAGAAGAACAACCTCATCTTCTATGATGAAGACCTAGAAGAATGTGGGATTGACATAAAAGAGGCAGCCATCCACTCTGGATTTTGTTCTGCAGTTCTTAGGGAAGACGTCTTTTCTCAGAAAAAGGTCTTCTTCTTTGTGCACCTGACCATACAGGAGTTCTTTGCAGCTCTTTTTGTCTATGACTGCTTCACAAACAAGAATACAAAAGAGCTCGGCGACTTCCTCGACCTGAAGGACAAAGAACATACTTTGCTTGATCTTCTAAAGATGACAGTTGATAAAGTGTTGGAGAAGAAGAACGGCCACCTGGACTTCTTCCTGCGGTTCCTCCTTGGCCTCACGGTTGAACCCAACCGGAGAGTCCTTCAGGGTCTGCTGACATCGCCGGACCCAGGCCAAGATACAGACAAGAAAGTCTTGACTCAACTCAGAGCCATCCGAAGGACGACCCTCTCTCCAGACAGTTGCATCAACCTCTTCCAGACCATGGTGGAGATGAGAGATCACAAAGTCAGAGATGAGCTTCAGGAATATCTGACGTTGTCAGATGGTTCAAAAACAGAGCTGACTCCCCTGCACTGCTCTGCACTGGCCTACATGCTGCAGGTATCGAAGAATGATCTGGATGTGATGGACTTGAAGAGTTACAACACATCAGATGAAGGCAGGAGGAGGCTGATACCAGCTGTGAGGAGCAGCAGAAAGGCCATGTAAGTTTAATTTTACTGCAATATGTCACCTATTTTGCTAAATATTAATAATAATTAAACTTACTAAAAAGTAAGGTGGTCTTGTAAACTTATCATATATGTCATAAGCCACATTGTGTGAACAAATATGTAAAGGCCAGGGCATGCTGGTGTTATCAAACCACATCCAAAGCTGAAGTTTCAAATGGCTACAATGGAAGGTGTGGCAAAAATATCTGCTGTCATAGAGAAGGTTGAGACACCATAACTGTTCAATAGTGGTTAATGGTGCACACATTCATATATGAAAATAGCATAAGAGAGAATTTCATATCTTGCCTTGTTTCTCAGCTCTGCACATCTGGCCAACTATTGCATTAAAATGGCTGTGAATGTCAGGTTGTGGCTTTTGTACAGTTACAAAAGACCCTGGAACTAATTGTGGAACCTGGTCCCTGCGGTGGAAACGCAGTTGGTTCCTCCAAAGATTCATAGTTCATAGAGGTGGAAATGCAGCTAAAGATTGTTGGACACGGCCCCACCAATCTCCATGTCAGAAAATATTTGGGGGAGGGGTTTATAGGATCAGTTCAACAATCCTACAAACTCTTTCTTTGAAGCATACTGTCACGATTTGGTCTCGTCTGCTCTGTGTTTCTGTGTCTTGATCCTTGTCCTGTCTCTGCTATCAAGTTTAAGTCATCTTGGTGTGTTTAGGGTTTCAGGCCTGTTTGTTTCTTGTCTTGTGTTCAGTCTGCCTGTTTTCTGTTTAGTGTAGTCTTGTCTGGGTTGAGTTCGAGCCCTGTCTGTCTGATTGCCCCATTTGTGTCTTTGTTGCACTTCACTTCTGTGGATTTGTTTTGACTCTGTCACTCTCAGTAAGTGTACTAAATCTAAGAACTGAACCTGCTTGTTCTGGTGTCATGTGTGTCGGTTCTCGAACCTGTTTACACACAAAACTAAATCTGACACATAGTGACACCTCAACAAATAATAACTGTGATCATTGAACATGTTCTAACCAAGAGCAGGATTGTCTCCATGAATGAAGGAAAAAAGCAAAGTTTTTTGTGACATTGTAACTTTAACTTTCACCCTCAGACTAGCAGACTGCAAAGTGACTGCAGAGTGGATTAAGCACCTGGCCTTTGCTCTCAAGTACTCCTACTCAGCTCTGAGACATCTGGACCTCAGCAACAATGATCTGAAAGACTCAGGAGTGAAGCTGCTCTGTGATGGACTGTCGAGTCAATGCTGCAGACTGGAGATATTGAGGTATCAATAAAGATATAAAGCACAATAAAAGGAGGTTGAAGGGCAACTGGACTTGGTTGAAAATACTTGACGACGTTTCGTCCTTCATCCAAGATTCCATTCGTTAGTGCGCCTGGTTGTGGTAACGACATTGTCATGGTCGAAAGAGCTACCTGTGGCCAAGTCTGAATAACCATCGTTGGCATCTTCACCTGAGGCCAAGAGGAAATGCTTGCCACCACTTATCCCTTGGTGTTTTCTAAAGTTTTCATTTAGCACCATCATCAGGTCAGATCTTTTGTTTGCCCAATTACCTGCAAAACTAATGACATTCCTATCTGCCTCAGCTGTCCCTTTTATTCTTGTTTATAACATTGTGCCTACTAAACATCCACATTTTAGCATAGCTGTAGACCCCTAGTTTTGTTCTCTGATGCTTAGAATATACCTTCATCATGTCAAATCCACCTAAATTACAAATATTGTCTTTTGACTTGTACCAAGATAGTTGGGCTCACTGCTGGTGATAATGATTTTTATAAACTTATTTTAAATATATTTGCTGGTATGTCAAACACTGTTTTCTCAGGTTGTCAGGTTGTCTGGTCACCAAGGAAGGCTGTGCTCATCTGGCCTCGGCTCTGCGGTCCAACCCCTCCCATCTGACAGACCTGGACCTGAGCTACAACAATCCAGGAGACTCAGGAGAGAAGCTGCTCTCTGAGCTGAGGGACGATCCACAATACAAGCTCAACACACTCAAGTAATTACAGATATACTACACTATTGACTTTCCTGCAGCAATAAATTCTAGTTACTGCTTACATTTAGCCTCATAATGCAGTCCTACTAATCTGAATTCACAGTTACTTTATTATCTGAATAAATTCTAAAAATCAAATCTCAACAGCGTTGAACATGGTGGAAGTGACCGGATGCAACCAGGCTTCAAGAAATGTAAGTGTCTGTATGTTTGCTGGTAGGAATAGTGAACTAGTGAAGAAGCAGTAAATTAAATGCTTAGTGATATGGTTGTCTTTAGCGGCCTGTGGTTTTAAAGTGTTTTTTCTTTACCTCCAGATGCCTGTGAGCTCACTTGGGACCCCAGCACAGCCCACAAGAACCTCCTTCTCTCTGAAGGGAACAGAAAGGTGACCTGGGTGAAAGAGGAGCAGCCACATCATCATCACCAAGAAAGGTTTGATCAGTGCCAACGGGTGCTGTGTGAACAGGGTCTGGACGGGTGCTGCTACTGGGAGGTCGAGGTGTTCGGCCTCTTCAGTGTTGGGGTGACATACAGAGGAGCTGACAAGGAAGGGAAATGGGATGATTTCAAGCTGGGACATAATGACAAGTCTTGGTGTCTGGTTTGCTCTAATGATGGTTATTATATTTTGCACTGCAACAACAAAGTAGATGTGTCTTCACTCGGATGGCGCTCCAGTCAAGTAGGAGTGTTTCTGGATTGGCCGGCTGGCACTCTGTCCTTCTACCGAGTTTCCTCCGACAGTAGAGTTCGCCTCCATACCTTCAAAACAAAGTTCAGTGAGCCCCTTTATCCTGCTGTTGAACTTCACACTCAGTCCTCTGCAGCATTTTCTTTAAAATGACAGTTAATGTCAATTACAGATGCACCTAGCTAACCAAGCTAGCTAGCTCTGCACAGAACCGTTGGCTCCACAGTCTCAGCCAAATGTGGTCACGTCCGGTGCCGCTGGTTGAGTGGGCAGCTGTATGTTTGCTACATTTCTTCATGTTTTAACAATAGTGACGTGTAAGTTTGTGCTTTTACTTTGTTTTGATTAAGTTACAGCATTTTTATTTCATTGGCAGCTATCCTGAAAGAGCAGCTTATATGTCAGAAAAGGTCTGTCCAGATTTTCATTGAATACCAGTTGATGTTACTTAGTGGATTCTTATTCTACAAACTTTACTAAACAATGTTTCACTGCTGTGGTGCTTAATCTTTACTTAGTCGAATCTAATTGTGAAAACTTAGCTAAAAAAGTTTTTCGTGGTGCTTCATTTTTACTTAGTGGAATCGTATTTTGAAACTTAGCTTAACAATATGATTGTCGTGGTGCTTAATCTTTACTAGTGGAATCTTATTTTGAAAACTAAGTTAAACAATATGTTTCACTACTGTGGTGCTTAATCTTTACTCAGTGGAATCTTATTGTGAAAACTTAGCTAAAAAAAAAGTTTGTCGTGGTGTTTCATTTTTACTTAGTGGAATCTAATTTTGAAAACTTGGTTTAACAGTATGTTTGATGCGGTGCATAATCTTTACTCAGTGGAATCTTATTTTGAAAACTTAACAATTTGTACCTTGAAAACAAAGTTCAGTGAGCCCCTTTATCCTGCTGTTGAACTTCACACTCAGTCCTCTGCGTCATTTTCTCAGATTGAACCCATTATGTCTCATAAATAGTCCAAACAACTGTTGTATTTGCAGTGTAAGGATGTCCTACGGGCTGTTACACTGTAGTTGTAGTGTACACTGTAAGACTGAAGTTGTAGATTTTCAGGTTTCACTGTTATTGTATATAACAAAGACAGAACCTTTGGGTCTGAAAAGTGAGGTGGATGTGAAGTTCCTTAAATCTGCATGGCATCAAACGGCCAGCAGGGGGCGACTCCTCTTGTGGAAATAATGGTAAAATGACTCTTCTTCTCAGCTGATTTATTACCTCAGTAAACACTTTCATAATGAATTTATGGTCTCAATCGCTAGTTTCACGTCTTCTTTAAAACAACATGGTGTTTATTTAGTTATCTGTGGTCCCATTTAGAGGAAAATAGACCATAAACCAGAGTATTCTTCAGGGCGGGACTATATTGTGATTGACGTTGAAGTTGCTACACATGGTGACCTGTCAATCAGGCTACAGTGACTCGTTCCCACGGCACTGTGTAAATTTAACCAGCACTGTTGAAAAAGCTTATTAGGAGTTGGCTGTTCACTTTCTCTGGTGAGTTGTTTTAGGCCTGTTTTTCACAAGACAAAAGTATCATCCCGGTTAATATGACAGTTAATGTCAATTACAGATGCACATAGCTAACCAAGCTAGCTAGCTCTGCACAGAACCGTTGGCTCCACAGTCTCGGCCAAATATGGTCACGTCCGGTGCCGCTGATTGCAAAAAATAATGCCAAATTTGAGGCTTCAAAACGGCAGTCGACAAACAAACGGGTGACATCACGTTGACTAAGTCCACTTCTTTTATACAGTCTTTGGGAATCCATTCATCGTACAGTAATTTTTCAACTAAAAATACCAAACATTTGCTTCCTCAAGCTTCTCCACTGTGAGGAATATACCATTGACATTTCTAGGAAACTGTGATGGACATTTTCTAAAATTTTCTGACATTTTATAGGCAAAACAACTTATCAAATAATCTAGAAAATAATAGGTAAAGTAAACCTTTTAAGTTAGTTAGTTGAGTTGTGGCAGCTTAGTAATATTTACATGACTTTGACAAGCAGAGCAGTAACTTGTAGGAGTGGGCAGCTGTGTGTTTGCTACATTTCTTCATGTTTTAACAATAGTGACGTGTAAGTTTGTGCTTTTACTTTGTTTTGATTAAGTTACAGCATTTTTATTTCATTGGCAGCTATCCTGAAAGAGCAGCTTATATGTCAGAAAAAGTCTGTCCAGATTTTCATTGAATACCAGTTGATGTTACTTAGTGGATTCTTATTCTACAAACTTTACTAAACAATGTTTCACTGCTGTGGTGCTTAATCTTTACTTAGTGGAATCTAATTGTGAAAACTTAGCTAAAAAAGTTTTTCGTGGTGCTTCATTTTTACTTAGTGGAATCGTATTTTGAAAACTTAACATTTTGTTTGATGTGGTGATTAATTTTTACTTAGTGGAATCTTATTTTGAAAACTTACCTTAACAGTATGTTTGATGTGGTGCTTAATTTTTACTTAGTGGAAACTTATTTTGAAAACTTACCTTAACAGTATGTTTGATGTGGTGCTTAATTTTTACTTAGTGGAATCTTACTTTGAAAACTTAACAATTTGTTTGATGTGGTGATTAATTTTTACTAGTGGAATCGTATTTTGAAAACTTAACAATTTGTTTGATGTGGTGATTAATTTTTACTTAGTGGAATCTTACTTTGAAAACTTAACAATTTGTTTGATGTGGTGATTAATTTTTACTTAGTGGAATCTTACTTTGAAAACTTAACAATTTGTTTGATGTGGTGATTAATTTTTACTTAGTGGAAACTTATTTTGAAAACTTACCTTAACAGTATGTTTGATGTGGTGCTTAATTTTTACTTAGTGGAATCTTACTTTGAAAACTTAACAATTTGTTTGATGTGGTGATTAATTTTTACTTAGTGGAAACTTATTTTGAAAACTTACCTTAACAGTATGTTTGATGTGGTGCTTAATTTTTACTTAGTGGAATCTTACTTTGAAAACTTAACAATTTGTTTGATGTGGTGATAATTTTTACTTAGTGGAAACTTATTTTGAAAACTTACCTTAACAGTATGTTTGATGTGGTGCTTAATTTTTACTTAGTGGAATCTTACTTTGAAAACTTAACAATTTGTTTGATGTGGTGATTAATTTTTACTTAGTGGAATCTTATTTTGAAAACTTAACAATTTGTTTGATGTGGTGATTAATCTTTACTAGTGGAATCGTATTTTGAAAAGTTAGCTAAACAATATGTTTGGCTGTTGTGGTGCTTAATCTTTACTCAGTGGAATCTTATTTTGAAAACGTAGTTAAACAATATGTTTCGCTGCTGTGGTGCTTAATCTTTACTCAGGGGAATCAAATAAAATTCAGTTTGAGAAAACTTTCCAAAGCAAAGGTCCGGAACATTGTAACCACAATGGCACTGAATGCATTATCATTCAAATTAGCTGTCGGTTGGGGGTCTGTAGAGGATGGTGGCTGGGTCCAAATCAGCCAATAATAACTTTTCACAGATGTTTCATGGGATACAACATGAAGTGATGTAATTTTTTTATGTCTGCCCACCAGCAAAGCATTAATTTTTTCAGGTTGTCCCGTAATGATCAACTTCACTGTGACATTTCTTGAAAACAATATAATTCAACACCATAACTCAGGAACAGACGGGGAGATTGTGACCATATTTCACAGCTGGACTGAAAAGCTGACACTTTTGACTCAAAGGTCAAAGTAATCTCAAAATAAGTTTTTAGCCATAATTTTAAAATTAATTGGATGATTCCAGATTTTACACACACAAACGTTGACTGGAATGACACAATGTGTAAACAATAGCAATAGCACAGTATCGGCTTTCCTCCATCTTGTCTATTTTGCCTTTCACTTCCTGCGTCATTCTGATTTTCATGCATCATCACAATTAATGTGACTGCAAACAACATATTGGAGTGCGCCTAGCAACTCATAATCCGGTGAATCAGTAGTGGGTTTCACCTACAGCTAATAGAGAGGCTTTGCAGCTAAAAATGCCAATAGAAAACAAAAGCAATGCACTTTTATGTAGCCGAACTGTATAAGAATCAATCTTTACTTCGTAAACAAGTACATGTGATACGTGTTCAGCCAATACATCTACAGTAAGCCTTCATTAATAAGACAACAATGTATGTTCACTGGAATTATACATCAAAATAGTGATAACTTCCAACCTTATTGTGAAAACTTAGCTTAACAATATGTTTGGCTGCTCTGGTGAATTTTTTTACCTGGACATAAAAACATAGCTAAGCTAAGCTAACCAGCTGCTCAATGTAGCTTCATATTTACAATACAGACATGAAAGTGGGAACAATCTCCCCACCCAAATCTTGGCAGAGGTGTACCCAAAATATCAAACTTCTTTCTTGTGTTTGGCATATTTGGTGCTAGATTTTACTGGATTTAGTAAAAAAAACCCATTTCTTTCTTTGACAATGTAAAAGTTCAATTAATAGCTCAGTTGCCTATATTTGGTTTAGGAGTCTATATGGGACAAGCCTTTAATTAATTTCACACAAAACTCCTGATCAAAAAGATGGGAAATACTATTAAATTCTTTATTTAAACCAGTTTGAATATTACCGATGTGTCAGCTAAAGTGCTGCCTTTGTTGTTGTTTTTTATGATTTTATTTTTGTTCTTTTGTTTGGTGGACCTTTACCGAATACAGGAATATAAATAATCAAGGAATAGACACAGATTCAGACTTGATGAAAGCATTAAATGGTAGGGAGTCACAATTTTTTTATTAATTATTTTAATATGCTGGTAAATCTGAATGAATTATACTTTGGTGCTTGTGACTGAATTGTGGAGAATGTAAGTGATGTGTAGCGTGTCTATATTAACTTGAATTTTATAAAAACAAAACAGACTCGGCATCTAATTGAGACCAGCATTTATTTGTCAAAATGTATAGCCACACCCGGCCAGTAAAGGGCACGCAGTGTTTAAGTTCTACTGTACAAGAATTTTCATATTGTGATGGATGTTAGAAATAAACTTTCAGAAAATTGAGAAAATATAAACTGTGTGTTTTGTTTTTGGGGGGGGGGGGGGGGGGGTGACCATTTGATTTGTCCTTTCATCACGCTCAAGGACTGACATGTTTCGTTATATATCAACTAAACATTACATCAGTTATCTTCCTTTGTCTTATATGAAGAGAACTTTAACAACAACATTTAAAAAACACCTTTCAAAGCTTTTAACCTCAACTGAGAACACAAATTCTTTGAAGGAATTTTTGAGTTAAGGCTTGAATGAATATATTGTTTTAGTAAGCTGTGCTTGTCTTTGATATGCAGACTGTAATTTGTATTGGTCCATGTGTACAAGAACATAATGGCTGGTCCACATTGTCATAATTGGATGAATGGTTCACTGATTTGGCTGACAGTAAAGGGTGGGGCAGTTTGGCTGCTTCGGGTCCCAGCTGTCGCCCCCACACACAGCTAGGGAGGGTGGGGCTGCTTCGTCCATGTGTCACAAAAAGAGCCCTGGCTTCTACAAAAGAAGAAAGAGAAGAGGAGGCAGGTGCGACACACGTGAAACATAA